CGCGGCGCGCAACCATTCATTAATTAAATGTAAAGCATATGTAAAACGCACATACGGTATAAAAATATAATTGCGCGATGAGGACGATGTACCGCTACTCTGTAAATTTGTCGATCGCCCATTATTCTCGTCGAAATTCAATTGCGGACGCGCGCGCGAAGCCTGTTTTTGCAATAACCCGTTTGCGATTCAAACTTGTTTGCGGATGAGACTTATTTTGCATTATTTACTCTCGCGCGCGCGCGCGCCTTCTTTCGTCCTCGTTGCTCTTCGCGAATCAATTAAGCCCCTTCGCACTCTTTCGCTTCTTATTGCTCGCGAGTTTTATCGAAATTTATTTCTCCTCTTTTTCTCTGTCTTTTTCCGTGTGTGTGTGTGTGTGTGTGTGTATTAATATAGTCTTATTTATTCTTCAGATTTATTCTTATCATTCTCACGTTGCATTCATGATAAGCTCGAACAACTATCGCAAACTCCCTTTGACACATTTTTGCGTCGCAATGCAGATCGCGCGTTACCCGCGAGTAGAATATAAATAGAATGTTATTTAAAAATGCGCGCCGACTTACACATCACACTGTTTTTATTGAATCATCATTATAATAATAACGTGTCGCAAATAAATGTTATTTGTTATATTACATTCTTTTCTAGCACGGAAATATTTATTTTTGTTACTTTTTACATGGGTTTGGATTATAGATACGTGTTTTTATATATATATATATATATATGCGTTGCATCTCTCACGAGAATCTCAGAATCTTTTATTTCTACGCGAATGGTAATCCTTTTTTGCAAAAACAAGAATTTTTTTTCTGATTAATCGAGAGCCGATCGACCGCACTGTGCATTCTCGAAAGCCCGTATTGTTTATTCCACGATTGGTAGACGCGATTGAAATCTTTCTCTCCTGTCCGACCTTTGTTCCCTGTCTCTTTCGATTCAGAATGTCCAGCCACAGGCCGCAATCGTCTGTTTAAAATATTACATCCTCTCACTCGGAGCAAATGGAATTGGGATCTTCTTAAGTTACTTCGTAACTTCATTTAATTGTTCAATGCGATCTTCTAAATTAAAAAAAAAAAAAAAAAAAAGATGTTATTTTAGTCTGTTAGAAAAAAAAACATTTTTTTTCGAAATAAAAAAAAAACAAATAAAATACTTTTATACGATGTAATTACAAATGAACATTCGACTTTTTGAATTTACGTACACGCACGTCTTCATTCCGCAATTTCGGAAATTAACGCTCTCTCTCCGAAGTACGTAGTAATATTATTCTACGAAAGTCATCATTTAATATTTGAACACAGATAAAACTATTCGTATGCATAATTGCAGATAGCTCGACGCGGCATTATATATAGGGGTAGTCATAAATTCTCGGCGCAACGACATATCGCTCCATACAGATTAAAGTAAAATGAAGTAACGTGCCTCTTTCCTGGCCTTCGATATTTTGAAATAGGAAACAAAACAAAACAAAAAAAAAAAAAAAAACAATTGAATGCATACACAACATACGAATGAAACAATTGTAAACATTTCTATATTTATCGCGTCGAATTACGCTGTGTGTTGTCTTTGTGGTGAAAATAAATATATGTTGCATCGATGAACTCTTAGAACACAAATGATTTCCGATAAACGTTACGATGATTAACGTTGCTGATTGCAAAATAAAAATCGCCGATTATTCGCCGTTGCGGTAAAAAGAAACCTGATGCGTTTTATCGTGGCTGGCGCTCGCTGTTGCGAAAATCTCATCACTTAAAGCTTAATAACCACGACACGCAGGCTCCTGCTCATTTATTTCCGCGTCTTTCGACCGCGATAGTTTTCCCTCTTTTTGTCGCGCATCCGGTTTTTCTTCCCTTGCTCTTTGGGTGCAAAAGAGCGAACGACAAAGAGAGAGAAAGAGAGAGAAGGACATCGAGCGAGCCGGGGCGGGCCGGGTCGAGCCCGCTAAAAAACGCCAGCGCGGGCCACGATGACTTTCGGAATCATTTTTCAAAATGTCTGCCGGTACCTCGAGGGGGGTGACCCCGACGGGTGGCGGTGCGGCAAGGGGGTGGCAGAGGGGTGGTCAACCCCCGTGGCGTAGGGTGGCAAGATGGCGCCGCACGGTAAATCGATGGAGGCTAGTCACTGCAGGCGCCCTCGCTTTCACAGCTCCAACTCGCCCCCCGTCACCCCCAGACCGCCACCCACTTTGCTCCCCCTTTTCTCTTCCCCCTCGGTCTCCCCCTCATTTTCGTGCTTTACGCAAGCGCTCGCACCGTGGATGTCGAGTCTTCGGTCATCTAAACATAATTTTGCGCTGGTCTAGCGTAGTAACTCAGCGTCTTGCTGAAAAAAAGACAAAAAATCGTTTTTCTTCTTTTTTTTACGCGGTGAGAAAAAAATCAATTCTCGAGAGAGAACTTTAACAATAAAAGTGTGGTCAATCAATATCTTTTTTTTTTTTTTTTTAACTTCGAGAGACATCTACGCAGAGATGCGACGATGTTTACTCGCGCGCACTTGCATTAGACGTATCGAAACACATTCGGTCTGCAAATAATTCGCGATAGGCGAAAGTGAACGAGAATTCGGAGGAGGGGAGAAAGCGCGTGCCCGATCGCGTTCCGATATGATTTTTCCGATAAACCCCATCTCATTTTAATATTCAACACCTGTAAACGCGCGCCCGGAACAAAGGCGAGATAGCCACCGCAGATCCGGCGAGTATTTGTATCGGTCGCATCCCCGCGCAATCCTTGTATATACAATAAAAATTTTCAGCGAGGTCGTTAAAACGGGTTTTTATACCGCCGCGCGCCGCGAACCTGTTTGATTCTACGTCTGAGAAATGTAACCGACGAGGGCGAGAACCCGACCACGGCTTTTAAAAAGAACATACGCCACAACAGGTTTCTGCGCACTTAATCCTTCCGCTTAAAACCGTCTCACTCACTCTTTCTTTCTTTCTTTCTTTCTCTCTCTCTCTCTCTCTCTCTCTCTCTCTCTCTCTCGCGTCAATGTGCAAATGAAAATTTTCATAGACATGTTAACGCCACGGTCTTCCTACGTGCCGACTAATGCCACGAAAGTCTCATAAGCGCGCTAATTTCATTACACTAATTAGAATATTTTAAAATTTACGTAAACGCGCCGGGCCACGCCGTACGACTCAATTACGAATAAAACTCGTGAGCACAAGCGAATTAAACGTCTCGGTGGGAAAACACGTGCGGCTTATAGGAAAGCATTTTCTTTTCGAGTAAAGTCACATTCAAAAACCCGCTAGCCGGCACACAAAAGAATATTGGCCAATCAGATTGTCTGATCGAATTAACCACTAGCATTTCATCGTCATGTGACCGAGCAACGTGCTCTAATGAGATTTATGTCTCGCGGTTTTGAACTTTGATATAGAAATCAACGTCTATATGGTGTGTATAAGCGTTTGCTAACGATAAAACTCTACTGCGGAAAATAGCGTCGATAGGAAAAATTTTACTTTCCACGGGCGATTCTATTCTGCTTTATGACACAATTCGAAGAGTTGTGGAAATATTAATAGAAAGCTATCTATACAGTTTTTACTTGTTTGTGTTTTATATTTTTTTTAGAGTAGTTTTATTTATAAGAACAGAAAACCAGAAATATATATTTGTCTCGCGCTCGTTTCAATCTTATCTCGATTTTTTTTGTTATATATATATATATATATATATATATATATATATGTATACATACATACATATAATACCCCGTGATGTTACAAAGTGTATTATTGTTTGATGCGTTTTAATGCACTTGTTCTACACAATATCATGTTATCGCACAAACAGATTTGCAGCGCGGATATCTCTCACCGCCGATTAAAAAATCGAAGCAGAAATACATGGATAATTAATGCTTATCGTATGTTTTATAAGAATGATTGATAATGCGGATAACAACACCCGATATACAAATGATTGATTGTCCGAAATGAGGTTACAATCAAAGCGTTGAATTGCGCAAAAATTCTATTTACCTGATAGCTTAATTGTATCATTAACCCGATATTAACTCGATAATTAATATAATAATAGAGAATAATAATGTCTTTAAAATATTAAACTCTTTCAGAGATACATATTGGGAGGAGGGGGAGGTATATTGCGGAATGTAAATTAACCGATCATTTTAAATACATTTATTATTTAAATTACGTGATTTATCGAACTGTTACGCTTCTCTCTCTCTCTCTCTCTCTTTCTCTTTGCAATAATTCGCATTTTCGCATTTTTAATGTTCTTTTTTTCTCTCTATCTCTCTCTTTCCCGCGCGCACGGGATTCACTCGCGACAGAATATCCAATATCTCCGCACTTACTGTATGCACGATATTTTTGTTAGACTTTTAATCCTTAATCTCAGCACAGGTCTTTGTCAATAACACTCGCTGATTAAGCGTATCGAGTAATCTAACGCGGATTGAAATTGATTTATGACGTGAACAACAGATGCGGAAAAATGGCAAATCTCAGCTCACGGTAGTAGAATTGGACGGTGCGAATCACGATAATTGACATTGAAAAATTAAGCGACATCTTATCGATCAATATAATATTATTACTAAAATTAAATCTTTCTTAATTGATGCGCTTCTAAAGATATGCTATATTCACTCTGATCTCATTCCGATCAATGCGTACGTTATGTTTGTATATTTGTTAACTTCTTTATTTAAATAACGTGTCGTTATTTAATAAAAAAACTCGCTAAATTGAAAACTGTTTGTCACGTTTTGCGTCATGCGTGCAAGTTCGACCTGGTTGTTTTTCGTTTGTCAAAACGGCTCGTATTTATTATTATAAATATTTTGAACGTGACTTACACGTGACGATTGTAAGGACAATACGAACGAAGACAGAGCGCGCTAAACACACCTCTCTTGTCTCGAGAGAACCATTTAGCTACGAAACAGAAGCAGAAAACCATCGAGCGTTCCGCGAGCCAGTCGATCACCTGACGCGACAACGAATTAAAATAAATAAAGGTGTATTGTAGAGTATTGGTGTTAAATAAAACATATACTCAGTTATTCTCAGAGACAGAAAGACATTTGTAAGAAAATGTAAGAAACCTCAGCATTCTGTCAGAGCTAAACAGGCGCTAAAATATCACGTGACACGAAACATCTAGATATTGTCACACAATTGCATACTTAAGATACACATTCGCAAAACAAGGTATATATCTTATCGTTAAAATCGAAGTATATTGGTGGTCGAATAATCGCTTTATAAGCGACAGTACATGTGTGATAGTAACATTGGGACTGCGACAAACATGAAGACGCAAGTTCTTATCGGTTTCTTGCTCGTGTGCGCCACAGCCGGTAAAAATATTTGCATTTTTATTTTTTTTTCTTGACAACTCTTAATTTTCTGACAAAATATTTGACAACTAATTTTGTTTTTATTGACGATGATATGTTCGTTGAATATTTTTTGTATTCTGACTATGTAGGTCTTCCACTGAACAATGCTTCGGAAAAAACACCACAGAATTACGATCTCTGCACCAAAAGTGATGGAGTCATGTGTGTATACGACGACGATGAGAATCTAGTGAGACTGAGGTTGGACGATGACGACGAAGAAGATAATACAGACCTAACTGACATCGAGAACTTTGTCTTCTTCTTGCTGTACACAAGGAAGAATCCTCTTCGTTCGAAACCGCTGTATGTCGATGACGAGGACGCGCTGAAGAGGACGAAATTCGACCCCGCCTTACCGACGCGTTTCGTCACTCACGGATGGATGAATTCTCGCAAAAGCGCGGCGTGCACCTTGATTCGCGATGGTATGTTGCACTGTCGAATAATCGTCCGCAGCGTAAAACTTTTTTCCATTGGAAAATGTTTCAGTTTCTCGATAAAAATACACGTATTCTAAAAAACAGTAACGAATTTGCTTCTCAATGAGAATTATTGCTGTGATCGCAGCCTATCTCAAGCATGGCGATTACAACATCATCGTCATCGACTGGAGCAAAATCAGCATCAAGGGTTACATTTGGGCAAGCAATCGTGTTAAGAGAGTTGGCGAATTCGTTTCGCGCATGATCGACTTCCTTTCGAAGCATCAAATGGAATTGTCGGAAACCATAGTGGTCGGCCACTCGCTTGGCGCCCATGTAGCTGGTATCGCTGCTCGCAATGCCAAAGGCGAGGTCAAGTCCGTCATAGGTAAGTTTTTATTCGCCCGACACGTTTAACAGGATATTGAATAAAAAAAACTTTGACATTGTAAAACGAGCACTACATCTCGAACTCGTATTAAGGAAGTGTTTCCTTTTTTGTTTTATTGATTGAATACTATTGCGGACCTTTTTTTACCTAAAACAACTCGACTTCTAATATAGAGATGGTTCATTACTTTTTACACACGCGATATTTGCGGTAAAATTTGTCCGGTTTCTAAAAAATGTTTTTATTTACTTTTTCCATCGGCATCCGGTGTATCTTTAAATCCGCATTATTTGCAGAAAATTGTACAATTCATTTTCCGTGAATTATAAAAATGTTTTCTTAAGTTACAAAATTGATCGACGTTAAATCAATGATCAACATCCGCTGTTGATGTTTCAGGACTGGATCCAGCTTTGCCACGCTTCGAACTAGTTGGACCGGGATCCAGGATATCATCCGATGATGCGGAGTACGTGGAGATTATTCACACAAACGGCGGCTTTCTCGGCTTCTTGTCAGCCATCGGGGATGCCGATTTTTATCCGAACGGAGGCAAAAAGCAGCACGGGTGTCTGACGGATCCTGGTGGCGCCTGTTCTCACGCCCGCTCGTTCAGATTCTTCGCCGAGTCTATTACCAGCACTTTAGGCTTCCACGGAAGAAGCTGCTCCTCTTACAGAAAATTCAAACGGGGCCGGTGCAACGACTCGCCCACGTCCATCATGGGCGGACACAAGTCGCTTTTCATCGCGCGCGGTAAATACTATCTGAAGACCAAGTCAAAATTTCCGTTCGCGAAAGGACCGTTCGAGAAATTCAGACGTTTGAACAGCACGATCTGAAATATCTCGTTACGCTGCCGTTATATAGCGTAGGATTCTGGATTTGGAAATTTATTGCGCGCGGAACAGGAAGGAGGATCCGCGTCGAGCTAAACTCATTTCTCTCAGCAATCGATCGGACGAGCGTTCACGGTGCGTAATTTCGTTTCCGCCCGCAGCGGCTGTTTCGTGCGCGAGTGTATTGCAATTCTCGTATACCGGGCATTCTTATAGAGTCTGAGCGAGAGATTGGCGGCTACTCGGCAAGCTATCCGATTTTAGTGATGCTGTTCATTAAAAGAACATAATAAATTCGTCGTTTGATGACAAACGTAATCGCTTGACTACAATATAAGCGGCAAGTCTTGCATTATGCAAAATGTATCACGTTGTTTTGTCAAAAATACAAAATATACGAAAAAACACTCGGTCTTGCAAGCCAAGTAGTATTAAACAACACGCGTATCAATTTCTCTACCGTTGTCTTTGCAGAAAATGCAAACATACACAAGAGAAACGCGGTCTTTCAACACGCGAATTTCTCAGACCAGACTTAGTCGCGATGCTTTAAATTTTATCGCAAAATATCCCGCACGTATCGCGCATAGCAACAAAGATAACAAGGTGATGTGGAAAACAGTCGGATTAAACAGGCGATACGCTACGAATTTTAGGCTCCGGGCTGTTTCCGTTAAACAGACGTAGTTATTATTTATCATTTTGACATAATGCGTACGCGAGCGTCGAAAGCAGACAAAAAATAAAAGTGACCCCGCGAAGAGAAACCGCGCTCGAAACGAGAATCTTCGTCGTCGAATAATTTTCAACGTGGATACGATGTTTTAATTCGCGGAAAGGTACAACTGATTTTTTAAACGTGTAAATTTGGTAGTTTTTATTATATAATAGAAACACGTAGAATATTAAACACTCTGTCATGCTCGACGATCACAAACATCCTGGTGTGATATTATCTATACAAAGAAACAACAATTTATACTTCTTTACAACAGAGCACTTTGATGTACAAATGTATACAAGGAATTATTTTTTATAAAAACTCTTTGAAGGTACGTGTACTGTTTTTTACCAACCCATTAAAATGTATACACCTAAATATTATAATAATAATAATAATAATAATAATAATAATAATAATAAAATTTATAATCAATTATTTTCAAGTAAACATGTAAACAGAGAGAGAGAGAGAGAGAGAGAGAGTGTGTGTGTGTGTATGTGATACTATTATGTAACATTTTCTAATAACATTTAAAATTGAACGACTTTCGCCAACATGATTTAAAAAAAAATTTTACAAACGATTTAATTTTTTGTAGCTTTCGAATAATAAAAAGATACAAATGCCGAGTTGAAAAATTGATATTGTAAAAAGAATGTTTATACATCACGGCATTGGGATTGCACAAAATATTTGTGCTCTGCTAATATGCTAAACAATAATATACAGCAGAGATAACTGTGTGAAAACGTTCGGGAAATATTAGCAATTTCAAAAAATGTTACGGTTACATGCTCGCAATTGATATAGAATATTCAATTTGAAACGATTGATTTTCATCGCTAAATTATGACGCGATATCTACAAGCTCGATAAGGCGCCGAATGTTCCCCATTGTGGATACGCGCCGGATGCGCCAATTGTTCACGCTCGCAATTGAAATATCCACGATAAAAGTTGGCGAGGCCAGACGAATTTTATTAACCGTTGAACAATGTCTTCGCCGCAGATTTGAGCGTAGCCAACCACCTGAGATGAATAAGGGTCCCGAACTGGAATTCGATCAGGCGAGCCGAAAAAATTCTGACGCGGCACGTCGTTTTCTCGGGAAATATATAATTTTTCTTTAGAAAAAAAAAAAAAACATTTCTTTCTCGTGTTATCGAGCACGTCAGTTTTCACTCCGGCGGCGTCACAGGATTACGACGTAATAAATCATCTGTTGACTCGCAAGTGTAAATACGATCTTATCGAGTGTGTGTTATTAGATGATTTTGCTCGGCGTGAATCACGTGCTGATTTTCCTTCGATAAGATCAATATCAAACTTGCTGGCGGATTAGTACGTAGCTTCGCTATCTTTGCAATTCCAAGTACTCGGACAAAATCTGGAGAAATATTATGTCACGTACGTAATCTTCGTGTTTTATTATTTATCCGACGTATATTAATGAGACTGCCAATTCTGCCAAAGTTTTCTGTTTTGCAATGTGATATATACATATATATTAATTAATTAATTTTTTAGAAAGGATTTTCTATACGAAATGCAATCTAAGCATTTCTAATAGATTTTTGAATTAAATTTAATTAAAAATTTGCCAAATATTCTTTTTACTTTCGAAGCTTCGTAATATAAAACGTATTTTAATATTAAAAAAGCGTAAAAGTTTCTGTGAATGAGATTTACAAAAATTCCTAAACTCCAAACACACAACACAACTCGCACACGAGAACAGCGTCATTTAATTGCAGCGGCAGTAATTCTTTCTTCGTCTGACACGCCCTGTCCGAGGTGTAGGTCAAGATTAAAACCCAAAATTGACGTCGAGGGAAAAATTAAAGTTGTAAAGTTTCTGGTATCTATCAACGCGAGACGGGTCCATATATCAGCATACGTAGCGTTCGCCGGCTATGTCTCAGCCGTGAAAGTGTTGTCCTTCGGTTCGTGTGTAAACCGTAAACTATTCGGCGACCACATTTTCCCCGGTGTCGAACAATCCCCTTGCCGTTCATTTTTCTAAAAGTATCGACACCGGACGAGAATTTATTTGCTCCTTTTATAGTTGATGTTGTTCAAGAAAACTATCGTGTATTTATGCATTCGCATTTAAATGTGTGCGTTTTGATAGAGAAATTATTTCAAAATAAAGGTGAAAGTGTTTTTTTTTTTTAATATTTTTTTATGTTTAAGCAAAAAGAAAAAATATCGCGTGTAAAATCCTCTTTGCAAGTGACTAAATTATAGCAAAAATAACTCTGTAAAAAAAAAAAAAATAATAATAAAACTGAATAAACTATTTGTCCACGTTGCAAAAACAAATGTATGTTTACCGCTTTTGCTGAAAAATTCTACTGATATATATGCATATCAATGAAATAGATTATCGAGAGATGATTTTCTTCGTCGCAAAACAATTAAATTCTGCGAAAATGTTGAGAAGCCACGTATCATGCGAAGTAAAGATTGTTATCTTTATCGAAGTTAAATATCATCGCGATACTGTGACGACAATTTTGTCGCAGATAATCTTATTATACAGAAGGAGTATCAGAAATCTAAGAACGAGTGCACAATAAATGCGATCATTATCATAACATTATTCTGTCTTCCAGCTCCGGAAGGAATCTTCTTAAAGCAAGCTCCCCTCAATTATACGCGGCAGAAATAATATGTCATATGTGTGTGTTAACGTGTCCTCTGGTCATTCTTCGGAATAGGTGAGCGTAAGTATATTTAATAATCGCCGCACTTCATTTTTTGCGCCCTTGTCGCAACTCGTTTGGTAACCGTTTATGAATGTGAAAAACCGGGACAGGTGAAGGGATTAAAAAAAAAAAAAGACTTACGTGACGTGGTCGTGTGGTTTCACATGCACGACCATACCTGAGATTTTTTTTACTCGAGCCGCGCGATCTGATCTTAGGAAACGATTTTACGAATTCTTGTTGCGGAGTATCTTGAAAGCGAGTCGCGCGTTCGATATCTCTCGTCGCGGATGAACTCACTCGGAATCGTTATTGTCGCGGTGCATTTTGGGGCTTCCGCATTATCGTATATACACGCGCGCGCGCGCGCGCGCGATGGTCATTGGTGTGTGCATCGCAAAATACTTTAACGGGGTGTGTACGCGTATAAACTACATAAAATAATTGTTAAATGAATCGTCCCGCTGTTTTTCCCGCCGTTTAAGCGGACTTATTAAGCGAACATTTTAATTAACGCGGCGATTAATCACGTAGATCACACATCCGGTCGTCACGCGTTTACGCAAATATATTATTTACGCGTTTCCAAAGAGTATCGTTCCCGGCGCGTCGCGCAAACTGAGGAAATGAACTGATAATTGCACGATACGCATAATTGCGTCAATTATGGGCGACTTTTGATAACGAATTGCACGAAGCTTTTTAGAAGTATTACAAAATCTGCGTAACCGAAACATCAGGTGGGTGCATAGATGAAATTTCACGATCGCAAGAGAAAGAGAGGAAGTGGAGGAGGAGAGAGAGCTACTCGAGAAAGAAATCGTAGGGCGAAAGTAATGGGAGAGCGGAACGAAAACGCATAATTTTAGATCGTAAATACGTAACCCGAGCCAACATAGTCACGCACTTACGTTTAATTGGTTCTTATGACGGTCATCTTAATTGACCGTGCGACTATTATCGGATAGGATTACCGTGTATTTATACGGTACCTTATGGTCTGCGCCGTGTGACTCAACGTCGACCGTAGAAAGTCGACGTTTGTTCTCAAAAGAAAACCAACCAACGCGTTGTTCGTAAAATCCATTTAATTACTCGTACAATAATTAACACGCGCACATGTGGTGGTAAGAAAATTTGAAATCAAATAGTTGACAAAAATGAATGTTCTTTTAAACAACTGCGAGACCGTACGCGCGTGCATTTTTTTTTATATTGCACAATATTCGCGGCATCTTTTTTTCAAAGATCGTCGTCAACCACAAGCTCGCGAGGAATCACGAGCGATCTTCAGGAAGCGCCTGAATAAAATCATACATGATGAACGCCGGCCATACGAGGTTTTCTGAAAGTGGTCAAGGCGAGGTCCGGGTGGACAGGTCGTTAATAAAGCTTGAAGAAGGGCCATTAATCACGAGCTATCTCGGAGTCGAGCTCGCTCATGTAAATACCCGCGGAGATATTTACCCAAACGCGCATAAGTTGCGCGTATACGCGCGTCGCGTCGTCTCTCGTCTGTCCCTCTTCACAACCTCCCTTGCGCGCCATCACACGCATCTTCGACTACGCCGATAGATGTAAAAGAACTCAGTGGTGAAAGCAAAAAAAAATGAAAAGCTCAGTCGGGACACGAGTGTAGAAAAAAAAAAGAGATCCCCCCTTTTGTCCAAATATTGGCTGTTCATTTATCAAGCGCCGTGCGGCTTATTCGATCCGCGCTAATTAGCTTTCTTCTTACCGCTTCGCCTCTCGGATTTCGCTTGTGTGTGTAGCGCGAGCGCGTGCGACGACTCGTGCATAACGCTCCTTTATTTATTGCTCCTTTGATCTTGGATTCGGATGCGCTGATGAACGACCCTCCCCCGTTCATATCGCGACTGCGATTCGTAGCCGGCTACTAAATCACACGTCGGTCGATGGGGAGCATATTGGCCCATTGACTTCAGTTTTAAGTCACGGAGCAGAAAGATAAATCGCGTCAAGAAAAATATCGCATCCTTCGATATTGGATCTTTCGCATTCGGCTGTTTCCGAGTAGCTCTTTTGCTCTCTTCAGACCATAAAATAATTTCACATATTTGTCACCACAGAATTATAGTTACAGGAGTGTATATAAATTGCAATAATAATAACAATAATAATAGAAACACTTATATACGTACTAGAACCATGAGTTTTTGGCTCTTGGATCGCCAGTTTCATATAGAAATAGACGAATCGTCTGGAATGTAGCATAAACCCTCAACCCTCAACGAACTTTCAAACCGGAAATTCGCAGGAAGTCTCCGAATGTGAACGTCAGTTTCTTTATCTGTTATCTGCAGCGACACAATTAAACAAAGATGGCCGACCGCGAGAGTCTAGCCTCGACTCTCGTCTGTGAAAACACGCGTGTGTATTACACTCACATACGCACGTTACATATATACACACACGCGCACACGTACAACCGTCTACGTGCGTGTGCACGGAAGCGCCATCGAAACCACGCAGATCTTTGCGAGAGGCGAAACACGGGCGAAACGCCGGCGTCTCGCGAAAAACCGGGACGAAACACAAGTGAGACGATCGCGATCGCGTGCGTTGATGCACATACGACTGGCTGGTGAT